AAATGGGGTGTTCCTTGCCCTTGCAAACAACCAAGGACCATAGAGTTTGTATTCCAACCCTGAAGCATTTTAATAGTTTAGTTCAGCCACCTAGGAGGAGAAGAGAACTTTAAAATACATTGGGTATATTTGTGGAAAAGTCTGTTTGAATCTGAAAGTAACATCAAACAATAGAGAAGCCTGTGCTCATATACTATAATTTTATTTTTACTTTGTGGATTCTGCTCCATAGTTTGCCAGTACATCTAAACAAGACAAACTATGATTTGCTATTAAAAGGAACAGGATATTAGACATGATTAATTCAGAGAAAATGGCAGGTATAGACACAATCGTGTCTGGGTTCACATTTGATGCTCATCCTAATGTGGCTTGTTTGTTTTGGCTTTGCATATTGTGAAAACAGGAGAAGTGAATGAACTATGGTTCATTTGAGAGTAGTGAACATCAGCTGGAAACCAGATTGTGGTTTATTTACCAATAACATCTATTACTTAGTGTGATATGTGAATGGAAAGGAATGACTTGTTTGTGGTTTTCTGAATTTTTGTTTGTTTTTCTACCTTTCCCCAGTATCTAACCATGTCACAGAGGTGCAAGACAATATAAACATTTAAAAAAGGAAGAAAACAAAACAGAAATTGATTTCACAAATTTTGATTACTTTGCCAACCTGTTAAACTGTGCTCTGAATCTTTCAACAAAGTATGCTGTAATGTGATGTACATATGTAGTCAGTGGCAGGGTCACACACTGAACTAAGCTATGGCAAAATTTGTTTGGTTTTGGCTTAGCACATTGTGTGCATGAAACCATAATGGTTTGTGAACTATGGTTTATTGCTTAATGTGATATACGAATCAAAAGCTTATGAAAGGATTGGAGAACAACAGATGTAAGGATCTTGCTGTAGCGTCAAATCATATTTTGTTGATAAGTCTGAATTAGCCTATTATGTCATTCTTCCTACAGACACTGCTATGCAAAGCTTCCTGCTCAAGTTATCCCTTGCTCTTTAGCCTGGGTGAAACCAGCAAAGGTATGTAATTTCCTATTTGTTTGGTTTTTCATTCTGAGAATTGGTTGGAGATGATAACTGAAGAGATAAACACAATTTTCTGAGAAGCTCTAAATGAAGAAGCTTCTGAATGAGTCAGTTCAGGAAATGGCCAAAGCACAAGCGATATAAGACTGATGGTGAGGTTAGCCACACCATATGTTAGAGCACATGACTGTCAAAGCAGTGAGATTTATGTTGTTTTCTCCATTATATCCAGCACAGATTGTCCTGATGATTTGGAGTTTATTATCATCTGTCGTAAGGAATCCTATGTTGTAGCCCTTGAAATTTGCTGTGACAAACTTGTATGGCATATTGGGAATAAACCTGTCTCCTTCACATAGTTTGAATGCCTCTTGGAATACGCTATATACCAAGAGATACAAGACACCATCGTATCTTTTTGTAGGGGATCTATTTCAATTGTTTAAGGGGATTCAGGCAGTGACAAATACGTCTTCACACGATGGAGTGGTGCTCTTTTTCTTGAAGCATGTTCATCTATTCCTGAAAAGGCCACCCTTGAATCCAGGTTTGTGTGCCATATTTAGCCAAAAGGACAATGACTCTGAACTTAAGAATCCCTCTCAGGAAAAACAGAAAGAAAGAAAGAAAATAATACATAGAGATAAAAAGACCTGTACAGTGGCCTACTTTGCCCACTGTATCAACTTAAACTTGCCAATTCCAGCTAAGCTAACCTGGAAGATTTATACCTTGTTGCTTCAATAAGTGACAAACAGTGGTACCTCAGGTTACGAATTTAATCCGTTCCGTGACTCTGGTCGCAACTCGATTTGGTCACAAGTCGAGG